CCACACCGCTATTAAATCATGTTTTATAAGATTCTAAAAATTCTTTTTTACTTAAGTTTGCTTGTTGTTCTATACCTTAGAATATAGTATTACATTACTGCTCGAGGGGAATTCAAGATGTCAGTAATCCAAAATAAAGTTGGATTCCAATTCACTTTTCACGGAATCATTCGAGTTGAGTTCATGTGGTAGAGTGTTTTGAATTACCTGAGGAAGAACATTCGGGGCTGATTCTTTAGTAAATGGTGTAGAAGAGGGCAATTCTTCATTTGACAATGCATTTAATTCTTCATTTGGTACCTCAGACATGTTTAACACATCAGGTAGAACCGCAGGTCCATTGTTCCCATTGTTCTCATCATGGATTGATTGTATACTCTCATCGGAAACTTCATTGGAAGAGTGCTCAAGACTGTTTTCTACCTCTAATCTATCTTCCAGTGCTTCCAAGTCCATAAATGGATCATGTGCATTCTGAGCGTTCTCTGCATTCTGTCTCTCCCCCTGAAGAGGAGGCTCAGAGACATCCCCTGAGTAATAAGATGTTGATTCATGAAAGGAAACATCCAAGGTCACATACAATTTATGTGTTTGTGGATCAAAACAGCGATACCCTTTCTGAAATTCTGCATAACCAACGAAGACACACTTAGTTGTGCGAGGATCAAGTTTACTTCGTTGATGCCGGGGAATGTGAACATAGGCAACACACCCAAATACCTGATGTTCAAGATTAGGTAATGAAGGAGCAGACAAGAGGGACCAAAACTTTTGTTGAGGAGTCTGAAAAGCAATAACACGTGAGGGTGTTCGGTTAATAAGGTAACCCGTGGATCTCACAGCTTTGCCCCAATAGGATTAAGGCAGATTCATACCAAACTGAGAGGCATGGACACCTTCCATAATCTAATATTCTTTCTTTCAGTGAGGCCATTCTGTTGTGGAGTATCAGAATAAGAGTTTCGGTGGCGAATCCCATGGATACTAAGGAATTGTCCAAGTACAACATTTATATATTCCCCGCCATTGTCTGATTGAAGAACCCTTGCTTTTGATACTAAGTGGCCACCATACTATAAAACTCTTGAAAAATAGCCCGCACATCACTCTTGTGCTGAAGAAGTGAAACCCAAGTCATTGGGGGTACATTCATTAATAAAAGTCACAAAATAATAAGCACCAGACTAAGATGCAACTATAAAAGAGGCGAAACTTTTATTAAAATTGGGTAAACAAGAAATACGATGGCTCTTAACCAGTTCACAAATATGACATTTGAATTCGGAATCATGAACACGCGAGAACAAATGTGGTTATATTTTCTGAAGATAACTAAAAGATAAATGCCCTAATCACCAATGCCATATCCAAACAGTAGCTTTAGTAGCGTCCACCCCACTAGTAAGTTGTGCCTATCCCATCTGCTTTGCCCCGCCATTTGTCAGATCCAAATAGTAGAGATTGCCTCGTCTAACACCATAGCCAAGAATCCATCAGGTTAGAATGTCCTGAAAAATGCCAAAAAAAGGCCAAAACGTCACAATGCAAGCTAGAGTTTGGGTAATTTCACTAACATATAACAGATTGTATGAGAGAGATGGGACAACAAGGACTATATCCAAGGTGAGTGTATTAGATAAGGTAACAGGGCCTTCTCCAGTGATTGGTGAGGCACTGCCATTAGTAGCTGATATAATGGATTGAGATGATGACTTGATGGACTGTAACTGATGTGGGTTATTTGTCATACGATCAGATGCACCTGTATCAATAATCCATGAACCATTCTTAAAGTCTACAGAACAAACGTAGGCCTTACCATTATTACCCAAGTGGGCTACATTAGCAGTAGCAGTGGGGGTTAGCTTTTGATAAAACTCTCTTTAGAATGAACTATATTTTGTATTGAATTTTTATCACTTATTGATTCATATATATTGCCCATAGGCTTACATCCTTTTATATAGAGAAGGTTATACATAAGTTTAATGAATAAGATCCATGAACCTAAACAACCTTGTAATTAATTAGGTACATGAATATAATCTAGACAAAGTACTTAATAAATATAAAATACATGAATATAAAAATACATGAATACAAAGAATGTATGAACTCAATGTATCCAATGCATGCAATGTATCCAATGTATCTAATGTAAATATGGCATTAATTTTAACACTCCCCTTTAATGCCATATTGTGTGACACCCAACATTTCTCTAAAAAATTCAAATTTGTCCCTTGGTAGAGCTTTGGTGAAGATGTCCTCTTTTTGCAACCCCAAAATGAATTTGGCTTGGACTGTGCATGAACCGAGACAATAAACTTGTAGCATACATGATGTCCGGTCTTGTAGCAGTTAAGTACAACAAACTTCCAACCAAACTTCTATAACAAGATGCTTCAGCTTCTTTGCTTCCATCTTCCTTTGACAACTTTTCATTCACAATCAAGGGAGTAGCAACTGCTTTGCAATTCTTCATTTTAAATTTCTCAAGAAGTGTTTGAGCATACTTCTTTTGGCAAATAAAAACACCACCATTGTTTTGGTAGATTTCAATGCCTAAAAAATGATGTAATAGTCCCAAATCACTAATTTCATATTTCTTTATCATCTCCCTTTTAAAATCTTCAATCAATTTTTCATCACTACCGGTAAAAACCAAATCATCAACATAAAGTGAAACAATGAGAATACCGGTTGTACCTTGCCTCTTGATGTACAAAGTTGGCTCACTTTTGCTTCTTTGAAAACCCTTTTCATTGAAGTAAGCATCAATTTCACTATACCATGCCCGGGGTGCTTGCTTTAGGCCATATAACGCCTTCTTCAACTTGTACACTTTATCTTCTTTGCCTTTGACAACAAAGCCTTGAGGTTGATCAACATACACCTCTTCTTCTAATTTTCCATTCAAAAATACTGATTTTACATCAAGTTGGTGCAAGAACCAACCCTTTTGAGCCGCCAAAGCAATGATAGCTCTAATTGTATCAAGTCGAGCCACAGGAGCAAAAGTTTCTTGGAAATCAATTCCAGGTTGTTGTGAATACCCTTTTGCCACAAGTCTTGCTTTGTTCTTTTGAATAGAGTCATCCGGATTGAACTTTGTTTTGAAAATCCACTTCACACCAATTATTTCTTTTTCTTTCGGTTTCTCCACTAACTCCCAAGTCTTGTTCTTCTCTATCACATGAATTTCATCTTCCATTGCTTTCTTCCATGCTTCATCTTTAATTGCCTCTTCAATATTTTCAGGTTCAACGATGCATAAATTGCATCTTGCATACACATCACTAAGACTCCTAATATTTCTTGGAGTTGAACTTGGAGATGAAGAACTTGAACTTGAACTTGAACTTGAACTTAGACTTGGACTTGGACTCGAACTTGGAGAAGATTATGAACTAGCAATTGGTGACAATCTTGGTGGAGATCCAAGCATTGCAACATCTTTAACTTGTAGACTTTTCGATTCTTCATTAAAAGCAATGTTTTGATCTTGGACTTTCTTTTCCTTTTAATCAAAAGACGCCTTCACATCAAAGAGAACATTTCTGCAAATAATCACTTTCTTTTGATCCAAACTAAAGAGTCTATAGCCTTTGGATTTCAAGCTATAACCCAAAAAATGCATTTAGCATAACAAATGGAACCAAACACCTTCAAGTGATTCACCGATGGTTTCCTTCCACTCCAAGCTTCAAATGGAGTTTTATCCTTAAGAGCGTTTGTAGGACATCTATTCATCAAGTAAACTGCTATATACACGGCCTCACCCCAAAAAGTTTTGGGTAGCCCCTTCTCATGTAGTATAGACTTGGACATCTCCTCTATGGTTCTATTCTTTCTTTCCGCCACATCATTTTGTTGTGGAGTGTACCCAACAGTCAATTGCCTTTCCATTCCAATATCTTCACAAAATTTCATAAACTCATTTGAGTTGTATTCTCCGCCTCTATCACTTCTCAATACTTTCATCAAACAACCACTTTGTCTTTCAATAAGATTTTGAAATTTCTTGAAGATAGAGAAAACTTCACTCTTTTGTCTCATGAAATACACCCAAGTCATTCTAGTAAAATCATCAACAAAGATAATAAAGTATTTGTTACCTCCATGAGTTGGTGTATCCATAGGTCCGCACACATCGATATGGACAAGCTCCAATGGTGTTTTAGCTCTCCATGCTTTCTCCTTTGGAAATGACTCCCGGTGATGCTTTCCAAGTGCACAACCTTCACAAATATGTTGCACTTCATGAATGGTTGGCAACCTAAAAACCATATTGTTTTGTTGTAGATGCTTCAAGCTTTGAAAATTCAAGTGCCCAAATCGTCTATGCCAAAGCCATGACTTATCAATCACATCCATCTTCAAAGCCGCATTTTTGCTATACCGAAAAATGAGAGGAAAACTTCTATTCTTCTCCATCTTGATTTGTGTTACAACTTGGCTTTTCCTCCCTATGTCAAAAATTTTGCAAAAATCGTCTTCAAAGTGAACAAGATATCCACGTTCCATAAGTTGTCCAACACTTAGCAAATTTTGCTCAAAGTCTGGAACTAAGAGAACATCGAAAATGAATCTTGTACCCATCTTGGTTTCTATAGCAATAGTACCTTTTCCTTTTGTTTGGACTAAGGCACCATTCCCCATTTTTACTTGAGGATTGGAGGAAGCATCCATTTTTACAAAAAATGCTTTCATCTCCTGTCATGTGATTGCTACATCCACTATCGAGAAACCATACATCCTTGGTTTGATTCGATGCCTTGTGACAAGCATAGAACATGTGCCCTTCACTTTCTTGCTCCTCAGAAAAATTAGCTTGTTGAGTGCTCTTGACTAGGCAATCCTTCTTGGCATGCCCAAATTTGTTGTAATTGTAACATTTTGGCTTTCCTCGAAACCAACAATCTTTATCAACATGATCGCTTCGGTTGCAAATTCCACACTTTTGTTGAGTGGACTCTTCATTTTTCTTTCTTTGAAAATTAGACCTTCCTCTTCCTCTTTACTCTTCCGGTTGCATTTCTTCCTGCTCCTCTTCCTCTTCCTTGGGAATTAGAGGTACTAACATTGAGCTTGGATTGAAAGGCACTTTCAATTGACTTTTCAGATTGCCTACTCAACCTTTGCTCAAATGTTTTAATTGAACCCATCAATTCTTCAATACTCAACTCAGCAAGATCTTTAGTTTCTTCAATGACAGCAACAATGGGATTGTATTTCTCCGACAAACTTATCAAAATTTTCTCAACAACTCTTTGATTAGTAATATTATCCCCATAAATTTTCATTTGGTTTACAAGTTCCATAACCCTAGAAAAATAATCCTTCAACAATTCCATATCCTTCATCTTTAAATTTTCAAAATCTCTTTTCAATGACTGAAGTTTGATGGTTCTTACCTTCAAGTTGCCTCTATACTCTTTCTGAAGAATATCCCATGCCTCCTTCGCTTTTGTTGCATTGATAATTCTTGAAAAGATTGCTTCTGAAACTTCTTGTTGAATAAAAGAGAGAGCCTTTGAATCCTTCTTCCTTTGCTCTTTTAATTGGTTCTTTTGGGGATTTGTCAAAGCTTCTTCATCTTCAGGTTCCTCGAACCCATTCTCAACAAGATCCCAAAGCTCCGTATAGACAAAAATAGTTCTCATTTTCACATACCAAAAATCAAAATTTTCACCATTAAAGATAGGAGTGAATACATTTTGGTTGATGGGATTTGCCATGGATGTCGGTTTGTTCTTCTTCGGGACTTGTTTTCTCGTATCCGATCTCTACGCCCAGCTTGCTCTTGACCCAACCAAAGCTTTGATACCACTTATGTTAGCTTTTGATAAAACTCTCTTTAGAATGAACTATATTTTGTATTGAATTTTTATCACTTATTGATTCATATATATTGCCCATAGGTTTACATCCTTTTATATAGAGAAAGTTATACATAAGTTCAATGAATAAGATCCATGAACCTAAACAACCTTGTAATTAATTAGGTACATGAATATAATCTAGACAATGTACTTAATAAATATAAAATACATGAATATAAAAATACATGAATACAAAGAATGTACGAACTCAATGTATCCAATGCATGCAATGTATCCAATGTATCTAATGTAAATATGGTATTAATTTTAACAGTGGGCAAAGGACAGTCAGCCTCAGTGGTGGCCATAGCAGCTTTACTTGCTTTCAGGGCTTTTTGGTAAAATCCCAACACTCAGGATAGCCAATAATCTCGTAGCATCGTTGTTTGGAGTGTCTTGTTTCACCACAATAAGTGCACATCAGGCCTCCATTCTTGCCGTGAGTTTGAGGTTTACCATTCTTTGAAAAGGAATTGAAGAATCCAGGTGATAAACCATGGCAAGTTCGGGTAGCAACCATAACCAAACTCTCAGAAGTCATACGTGATTCCCCCATTGTCTGACGTTGTTGGTGATCTTTTCGGACATACGCATAACTTCTTTCGAAGTTAAGCGGTGGATCTTTGTGCAAGATTTCACTACGGACTTGGTTGAAATCAGAATTCAGTCCACTTAAGAATATGTGGACTCTAAGTTTGGCCATTGTTGAGTGCAACCTAGTAACTCCTTTAACAGTATCTACTTGGGACGCAGTCCTGTCATTAATTTCCTAAAAAATGGCAACAAGTTCACTGTAATAAGTGGGTAAAAGACGACCATTTTGTTTGGTAGAGAAGGATGTCCGGTTTAATTCGAATAAGTGGGTTTCATTAGACCCATCATAGAAGGTCTTTGAGGCCACCTCCCATATCTCTTTGGTCGTGGGAAGTTGAACGAAACGCTGCATCAATGATGTGGTCATTGAGTCAATAAGCCAACCTTTGACCCTGTTGTTTTCAACAACCCATGTATCATAATTGACATCTCCATGCGCTGGTTTTGTAGTTGTTCCAGTGAGATATCCGATTTTGTTGCGAGCACCGATACACATCTCTATAAGCTGAGACCATAATGAATAATTGGTCTCATCCAATGTGATTCCGATGGGGAATAGAGAATTGTCTTGGTGAACTTGTTGGATAATAACCTCGGGAGCAGCAACTGCTATTTTTGTTTCAATTGATTGATCACCCATTGAATCATAGAGTATAGCAACGCATGGAGACTTTGCTGAATTGATTCAAGAGCAATTTCTGATCATACTGATGGATCTGATTCGATGTGGCTTCTAGTTTACGAGTTACGATTTTACGAAGACGGATGGTGCAGTAGGACTCCAACGTCGGAAAGGCTGTGGATTCAAATTTCGGCTTTGGAACTCCTAGGGTTTCAAGGAGAGCTTTAGGATCTAACTTTTTGCTATGATACCATGTAGAAATTCATATTCATATGTTTGGGAATATTTTTTTATATTTCTCATTCAGAAGAATATGTATCTTTATAGTGTTACAATCCTCACAATCCTCCTAAAATTAGGAAACTATATAGCTCACACCTTGATTGTTGCCTAACTATAAGGGTATACACATATTAATAGAAATAATAATACAGCTCATGCCAACACCTATGTAGAAAACAACTTTCAGGTGTTGATGATATGCCTCCACCAAGGACGTAGCTTGGAAGGACTTGGAGCTTAAGGCTTCATTTTTGGTAGGGATGGCAATGGGGGGTAATGGGGTGGATATTAATTCTCCATCCCCATTCTCCTATAATAAATTTTCTTCATTCCCCATTCCCCATTCCCCATGGGTATCACCCTCCCCATTTCTTAATGGGTATGGATTTTCCCCCATCCACTTTAATCCCCATTTTTATTTTTTATATTTAATGTTAACAATCACTTTTTTTTTATTATTATTACTCCCTCCGTCCTAAAATAATGGTCCCTTTTGGGGAATTCAACTTTTTTTGGTAGTACAATTATTGTACTTTTAAAAATTTGATTTTCCAAAATTACCCTTTGATAGTACACTTTTTTGGGAATATCAATGTCATAATTGTACTTTTTATATTATTTATGAATTTAAAAGAAGGGCAAAATGGGAAATTTATATTATTTTTGTACTTGATTTTTGAAGA